GAATTTTTTTCTTAAGATTTTATTTATTCATGAGAGACACACACACACACACAGAGATTGAGAGAGAGAGAGAGAGAGAGAGAGAGAGGCAGAGGGAGACGCAGGCTCCATGCAGGGAGTCTGACGGGACTTGATCCCAGGTCTCCAAGATCATGCTCTGGGCCGAAGGCGGCACCAAACCGCTGAGCCACCCAGGTTGCCTGTATGAAGTAGAATTTTTAAGCTTTCTTGGGTTGCAATTCAATAGAAAATACCATTTTGCCAAGGGTGGCTGAGTCTGCTCTACACAGGTGACAAACTGCAGAGCTTTGGCGGAGTAGGTGAGGGTTGCACATGTGCACAAATAATATAATTCATGGTGATCAAGTCACATTTTGGATTGGGGAGGTAGTAAATAGCCAGACCCCTCAGAACTAGAGTGTGTTCCCACAATCTTATTTATCTCAAACTCTTTCTTGCTGCCCCAGGAGCTTTGATTTCTGGGCTCTTCTGTCTTTGATTGGTCTTTGGCAATGAGTATCATACATCTATCCTATTGGGGTGAGGAGCCAGAAGCTGGTTCTCCATGGAAGCATCCTTATGCCCACCCGTCACATGCACCACCTGTTTTCATGTATCTAGCCCACTTAGCCTGATGTATTTGCCCATGACAGAGCAATTGTTAGTCAGTATATTTGTTTCTTACTTTTTAACATGCAAATAGAGCCCTAATTTAATATGCAAATCAAAACATTTCTTATGACCGAAAATGCGATGAAATGTATTGATTTGTTATAGGAAAATATGTGAACATTTTCTTAGCAAGGTTCTTGCTTTCCTTTTTTTATTTTATTTTATTTTATTTTTATTTTTTTTGGTTCTTGCTTTCCTAATTCAATCCACAATGTACCTTCCTGATAGTTGTCAAGGAAGCATACTTCTCTAACCCTCAGATGGCCTGTAGTGTACTTTCAGAGAAATTGCTCACTCAGATAGATGGTTTTCCACTAAGGAATGGAATCAGTAATAACAGGGAGTGCTAGATAAATTCTACTACCTCTGGGACCCTAGAGAGAAAATACTTCTGTTCCAATGAAGAATAAAGCAGAATATAGAGTTGCTGTGACTATATTTATTGATTTATTATGAGAATTTAGTAAATATCAGGTGATGTTGCAAGAAAGAAAAAGGGATGGACTGTCAGAGCTTCTGCTCTCAGAAAGCTTATATTCTGAAGTAGACATTACAGGCTTAAAAGGAAAAGGTCTTTAAGAGGGTGACACTTGGAACATTAAACTTCAGACGTGTAAGTGATTATTCCCAGCTAGAGGGAATCAGTGGAAGTCTATAGAATGGCATTTAGGTACAACATGTAGAATTTGTACATACAATTATGGGAAAGGAGGAAGAGAATATTTAAGGTGGATAGACTTCTATTAACAAAGGCATGGATTTATGCAACTGAATTTTACGTATGGGAGAGTAATTAAGTATATGTGAAGGGGAGTAGTGGATTGAAAAAAAGGTTGGGATCAGCTTGTATAAGTCTTAAATTCCAAAGTAAGGAATTTGATCTTTATCTCTACATGATTGGCAATCCCTGGGGCTTTGAGAGTGAATACGAAAATTGTTCATCAAGCACTGAGAAGATGAATCTGGTGGCATTGGTGGAATATGTGGACAGCTGGAGAAAAAGGTTAAGAGCTGGCCTTATCACTGACGACTAGTCTCCTTTCAAATTCATGTTCAAGACTGATTAGGCTTGGAAAACCCCTCCTTGTAATTGGAGTCACAGAACCTAGAGCTGACAGAAAGTAGCACTGAGAGCATAAGTACTAAATCCTGCCACAGGTGTGCCGCCACATTTTGGGGACACAAGGTCACTGCACACAATGTCACCTGCTGCCATCGGCTAGATTAGGAGTTGATAAAGATGGATTATTTCATTTGGGGGGGAACCCTGGGTGGCGCAGCGGTTTAGCGCCTGCCTTTGGCCCAGGGCGCGATCCTGTAGACCATTTGGAAGAATCACTTTGGAATTTTCACATCAGTCTTGTGAGAAGAAAAGATTAAAAATCTAGAATTATAATGTTTATTACCTGTTTAAAATAAGTATTTACTTGGCTAAGTTGTGTATGGGGAATGTACGGATGTCAAAGGGCATTTTTCTTTTCTCCTTTACCTATTTCACTCATCCCTCTACCCCCTCCTCTCTGGCAACCACCAGTTTGTTCTCTAGCTTGAAGAGTCTGAGTTTTTTGTATGTCTCTTCCTTTGTTTTGTTCCTTTGTTCGTATGAGTGAAATGATATGGTATTTGTCTTCCTCAGTCTGACTTATTTTACCTAGCATGATACCCTCGAGGCCCATCCAAATGGCAAGATTCCATTCTTTTTAATGGCTGTTTAATAGTCCATTACACATACACACACACACACAGATATATATACACACATGCACACAGATATATATATGTATATATACACGTATATGTATATGTACATGTATATATATCTATATATGTATATACACACATATATATGTATATGTATATATATATGTACAAAGGTACCTATATATAAGATATATATATATATATATATCGCATCTTTATTCAATCACCTATCAATGGATATTTGGGTTGCTACCATATACTGACAATTGTAAATAGTTCTGCAAAAAGATAGGGTGTGTATATCTTTCGAATTAGCATTTTAGTTTCCTTTGGTTAAATACCCAATAGTGGAATTATTAGATCTTATGGCATTTTTTTGCTTTTAATTATTTGAGGAACTTCAAATTGTTTTCCACAACAGCTGTACCAGCTTGTATTCCCACCACCAGTGCATGAGGGTTCTTTTTTCTTCATATCCTTTCCAACACTTGTTATTGTATTTTTTTTTATTTTAGCCATTCTGTGAGGTGTAAAATAATGTCTTATTGTGGCTTTGATTTGTATTTCTCTGATGATGAGTGATGTTGAACATCTTTTCATGTGTCTCTTGGCCATCCATATATCATCTTTGGAAAAATATCCATTCATGTCTTCTGCTCATTTTTTTAAAATCAGATTTCTTATGGTGTTGAGTTGTATAACTTCTTTTTATGTATTTTATATATCTTTATCAAATATATATCTTTATCAAATAATAATGTATATTACTTGCAAATATCTTCTCCTATTCAGTAGGTTGCTTCATCATTTTGTTGATGGTTTCCTTCATTGTGAAAAAGGTTTTAATTTTGGTGTAGTCTCAGTAGTTTAATTTTGCTTTTGTTTCCCTTGCCTGAGGAGACATAGCTAAAAAAAATATTTCTTTTTTTTTTTTTAAAGATTTTATTTATTTATTCATAGACAGAGAGAGAGAGAGAGAGGCAGAGACACAGGCAGAGGGAGAAGCAGGCTCCATGCAGGGAGCCCGATGTGGGACTCGATCCCGGGTCTCCAGGATCACACCCCAGGCTGCAGGCAGCGCCAAACCGCTGCGCCACCGGGGCTGCCCTTTTTTTTTTTTTTTAAAGATTTTATTTATTTATAAAAAAAAATATTTCTATGGGGAATGTCAAAGAGATTACTGCCTATGGTGTTTTTTTTTTTTGTTGTTGTTGTTGTTTTTTTTAGGAATTTTATGGTTTCAGGTCTCACATTTAGGTCTTTAATTCATTTTGAGTTTATTTTGTGTAAGGTGTAAGAAAGTGGTTGTTTGGGGGCACCTGGTGCCTCAGTACATTAAGCATCTGACTTTGGCTCAGGTAATGATCCCAGAATCCTGGGATTGAACCTGTCAGGCTCCCTGCTAAGCAGGGAGTCTGCTTCTCTCTCTGTCCCTCCTCCTGATTATGCTCTCTCTCTCTCAAATAAATAAAATCTTTTTAAAAGAAAGTAGTTATGGGGCGCCTGGGTGGCTCAGCGGTTAAGTGCCTGCCTTTGGCTCAGGGCGAGATTCTAGGGTCCCAGATTCGAGTCCCACATTGGGCTCCCTGCATGGAGCCTGCTTCTCCCTCTGCCTGTGTCTCTGCCTCTCTCTCTGTGTGTGTCTTTCATGAATAAATAAACAAAATCTTTTTAAAAAAGGAAGTGGTTCAGTTTCATTCTTTTGCATCTAGCTATCCAGTTTTCCCAGCACTATTTGTTGAAGAGACTGTTTTTTCCCTATTGTATATTCTTGCCCCCTTGTAATAGATTAATTGACCATATTATTATGGGTTGATTTATGAGACTTCTATCCTGCTCTATTGATTATGTGCCTATTTTCGTGTTGGTACCATTCTTCTTTGATTACGACAGTTTTGTAGTATATCTTGATACTGGCATTGTGGTACCATCAGCTTTGTTCTTCTTTCACAATACTTTTTTGGCTATTTGGGGTCTTTTGTGGTTCCATACAAATTTTAGGATTATTTGCTTTAGTTTTGTGAAAAATGTTGTTGGCATTTTGACACAGATTGCATTAAATCTACAGATAACTTTAGGTAGCATGGACATTTTAACAATATTGGTTCTTCCAATCCATGAACATGGAATACTTTTTCATTTGTTTGTGTCATCTTCAGTTTCTTTCACCACTGTTTTATAGCTTATGGAGCACAGTTTTTCACTTCCTTGGTTAAACTTATTCCTAGATTCCCCCCCCTTTTTTTGGCACAGTTGTAAATAGGATTGTTTTCTTAATTTCTTTCTGCTATTTTGTTATTATTATACAGAAATGCAACAGATTTCTGTATATTAATTTTGTATCTTGTGACTTTATTGAATTAATTATAATTTCTAGTGGTTTTTATGGTTTAGTCTTTAGGATATTCTATATATAGTATCATGTCATCTGCAAATAGTGAGTTTTACTACTTTCTTACTGGTTTGGATGCCTTTTATTTCTTTTTCCTGTCTGATTGCTATGGCTAGGACTTTTAGTACTATGTTAAATAAAAATGGTGAGATGAGTATCCTTGTCTTCTTCCTGGTTTTAGAGAAAAAGCTCTCTCTGAGCTCCAGAGAGAGTATGAGCTGTGGTGGCCAGAGTCATGGCAGGGCAGGCATTTAGAAAGTTTTTCCCCCCTTTGGCTGAATTTTAGTTTTAAAGGAGTGCAGCTAAAACTGTAACCAAAAGAGGTATCATGCTTCCACAAAAATATCAAGGAAAAATGTTGCAAGCAACAGTAGGAGCTGTTGGATCAGGCTCTAATGGAAAAGGTGGTGAGATTCAACTAATTAGTATGAAAGTTGTAGATAAAGTTCTTCTCCCAGAATGTGGAGGCACCAAAGTAGTTCTAAATGACAAAGACTCTTTCTTATTTAGAAATGATGAGATTCTTGGAAAGTATGTGAACTGAAATTATTAAAATGGCATGAAATGAAGCTGCCCATTCCAGTGAAGTTGTGAAATCTTTCATCATGTAAATAACTTTCATGTCTTTCTTTTATAATAAGCTAATGGTATCCCAAAAAAGCCCTCAGTTTTTCACTATTGAATATGATGTTAGCTGTAGGTTTGTCATACATGGCTTTCATTAGGCTGAGATATGTTCTCTCTAAATCTACTTTGGTGAGTTCTTCTCATGACTGGATGTTGTACTCTGTCAGATGCTTTTTCTGAATCTATTGAGATGTTCATATGGTTTTTATCTTTTCTCTTGTTACTGTGTTGTATCATGTTGATTGATTTGCCGATATTGAACCACCCTTAAATCCCTGCAATAAATCCCACTTGATCATGGTGAATGATTTTTTACATGTACTGTTGAATTCAGTTTGCTAATATTTTGTTGAGAATGTTTGCATCTATGTTCATCAGATATATTGGCCAATAGTTCTTTTTTTCTTCTTTTCTTTTCTTTCTTTTTTCTTTTCTTTCTTTCTTTCTTTCTTTCTTTCTTTCTTTCTTTCTTTCTTTTTTTGTTGCACCTTTCTCTGGTTTGGATATCAGGGTAAAGCTGGCTTCACAGAATGAATTTGGAAGTTTTCCTTCTTTTTCTATTTTTTGAGGATAGTTTGAGAAGAACAGGTATTAATGCTTCTTTAACTGGTAGAATTCACCTGTGATGCCATTTGATCATGGATTTTTGTTTGTAGGAAGTTTTTTGATTACTGATTCAATTTCATTACTAGTAATCAGTTTGTTTAAATTTTATATTATTTCTTGATTCACTTTTGGAAGATTATATATTTTTAGAAATGTATTCATTTCTTCTAAGTTGTCCAATTTGTTGGCATATAATTTTTCATAATGTTCTGGTATAATCCTTTGTATTTCTGTGATGTCAGTAAAGAGCATTATATTTTGGCTGTTTTCTTGATGTTCTTTTGAATTGGGAGACAATCTTTACTCAGCCATTTGAGAATGTGTCAAGATGGTGATATCAAAATGTAAAATCATTACATTTAAAAATTTTCCAAGTAGCATGTGCATTGATCATTTTTTTAGCCTTACTACCTCTAGGGCCCTTAGTGATTTTCAGAGCCTCAGCCATCATCAGATGCATTGTCGATACCCATCTTAGCTTCCCTATTAATTATTGTGGGGATCAAATAGGCAATTATGAGGATTTGCTCCAAGCTCTATAAAGAACTGTATAGTAAAGGGTTGCTGTTATGTACCTTTTTTCTCTATTTTCAAGTATGTATTTGGTAGAGTCATTAGAACAGTAAATGAGAATCTCTAATGAAGAGAGGTGGTGAATGGGACACTTTAAATGAAAGAGCTTCTCAAGGGGCAGCCTGTACCTTCTCCTGAGCTTCCTGGGCATGAGTGTGTTAGTTTATCAAGAGCAGAGAAGAGATCTTATTCATGTTTCTATCACCAGTGCCTAGTTATGAGATACAATAAATGAGATACATAAATACTTATGAGTGAATGAGGTAATTAATGAAATCGTTACCTGATTTACCAGGTATGGATCTTTTTGAGAAAACAGCTTCCCTTACTCTGGGGCAGACTCAGCCTTGAGTTTTAGTGTCTTGATTAGTAGGCAAGCACAGGATGGTATTAATCACACTTGTCTCCCTAGCTAGAGAACACAAATGCAAGGTACAATTTTCACAATAGCATGTGAAATTGCAATAATCAGCAGAGGGAGGATTTCCTTCCATAGTTTTCCCTGAGTGTAGACATATGGGGGACTTGCCATGTATTACTATCTTGTATCAATAGCAAAGAGTATCTACTTTCCACATCTTTAACATAGGGCCCTGAACTTATTGGATGCTCAATGCTTATTCATTGTCAATACGCAGTAACTGCTCAATGTACATGTATAGCTTTTTGGGGACCTGCATTTTTATGTGATACTGGCAAAATAGATATTATAAAGGCTCTTTTAGGGATCCCTGGGTGGCGCAGCGGTTTGGCGCCTGCCTTTGGCCCAGGGCGCGATCCTGGAGACCCGGGATCGAATCCCACGTCGGGCTCCCGGTGCATGGAGCCTGCTTCTCCCTCTGCCTGTGTCTCTGCCTCTCTCTCTCTCTCTCTGACTATCATAAATAAATAAAAATTTAAAAAAAAATAAATAAATAAAGGCTCTTTTAAGCTATCCCCTCTATATCTCCTTTTACTTCTCATCTACATTGAAGACAATTTATGGCAAGATTCAGTTTTAATTTGGACAACTAGACTTATACACACTCTGCTCATTTTTGGCAAACAGGCCCTAGGAAGTAATTCAGGTGAAGCCACCACTAGCAGATCAGGATTGTCTGGCTTGGTCATGGTGAAACTTATTGGTAGAACCTTGGATCCCCATACAGCCATATTTTTTTTAGCACATATGGAAATCACCTTAAAGAAGAAATCCCTCTTTTGTTTCTAGCTTCTGATGATTGAACTGGAGCACAGAGCAAGTGCAGCATTCCATACTAAGCAAAAAGTTATGATTCAAAATAGACAAAGAGACAAAGCAGTGGCCAGGCCAGAGAACATTTTCTATTTTTGACTAGAAGAAAGGCTAAGTAGAGATTTGTTTCTTCTTCTATACACTGTGACACATGCCATGCAGACTGCCATGAAAGCTATTCTTTGTAGACTCCAGCAGAATAATATATAATCTCAAACACACTGGCTAAGAACCTACAGAATAACTTTTCATTCATGTTTATTTCTCTATAAAACAGTAGTGGTGTAGTTATTCCCATTTAGGGGGTTCAAATTGTGTTGCAGGCTTTCAAAATTATTTGTCTTTAACATAGCACGAACCTAAAGGGGTAGATTCTATGACCTCCACTTAAAAAAATGAGCCACCTGAATATCAAAACTTCTCTGGATTCAAACCTGGGTCTGTAAGGCCCCCAAATATTATATTCTCTTCCTTACACTATGCTGCCTCTTAATGTGCTAGTGGACATCTGGATTCCATAAAGTCACTTTCCTGCCTGTATTAGCCCATTGATCTAATCACCTTTTCAATAACTTAGCAGTTCTTGGACAAAGGTATAGGTATAACTTCCTCTTTCTTAAGTGTAGGCTACATGTAATGACTTTTTTCTAATGAGTACAGTGTGGAAAGTGGAAAAAAAGAGCAACTTTACAGTGGGGAAATCTGATAAACACTACCACTGCCAGGTCTTAAGGTGAAAATCCAGTAGTGATTACTATCTGCCCTTGGTAACATGGGATGAGAAAGAAATTTTACCTCCATAGACTTTCTTCAAAACTCCATAGGCCAGCAAAATAATGAGAGAAACATCAGATAAATCCCAAATGAAGGCCATACCAAAATACTTGTCTACTATTCCTCGAAACTGTCCAGCTCACCAAAAAATAGGAAAAATTTGAGGAACTGTCATAGCCAAGAGAAGTCTGAGACATGACAACTGAATGTGAAATGGTGTTCTGAACAGGATCCCAGAACAGAAAAAAGACATTAAGTAGGAAATAAGTAAATATGAGTACAGTATGGACTTTAGTTAATAATACTGTATCAATATTGGTTCAGTAATTGTTAAAAATGTTTCCTGTGAATGTAAGAGGCTAACAATAGAGGAAACTAGATATGATTTAGATGAGCACTATTCATATTAATTTCACAAGTTTTCTATAAATTATTTTTTTAAAAATTTAGTTTAAATATCTAAATTCATAATTTAAAATCTACCATATTATAATAAAAAAAGAATTGATAACTTAGAAATGGTGCTAGGTAACTGCCTATGCATATGGAGGAAAATAAATTAAAACTTGAAAACTAACTAACACCACACACTAAAAGAAAATCTAGATGAATTCAGATTCATCTGAATTGGAAAAGCAAAGCTATGAAGATGTTAGAAAAAATATTTTTAATGGATTATCTTATCAAAATGTGGTCCCCAGACAAGCAATATCAACATTCTCAGAGAATCTGTTAGAAATGCAATTTCTTGGGCCCCATCCAGAGTAACTACAGAGGTAGCATCCACCTGTCTTTGTTTTAAAAGTTATTGAACACTACATCTGAAATTGATGATGTACTATGTTGGCTAATTGAGTTTAAATTAAAAAAAAAAAACCACCTCCAAGTAGCTGTTATGTATGTTAATGTATGAGGACCACCACAATAGGAAAGTCAAGCTGAAAAGTGAAAGATTGATAAAAATGGCTGTAGTAATATTTAAAATGTGAAATATTTATTAAACCATTGTCTTAGAAAAAAATAACTGACCACAGATTAGCATAGGGAATATTCAGCACAGATAAAAATATAGAGCAATGTTTTTCAACGAGGGGTGATTTTGTCTCCTGGGGAATTGCAGTGTTTGAGACATTTAGGTCATCAAAACTTTAGGAGGGCAGTCATTTAGTTGATAGAGGACCATGGAGATGCTGCTAAACAATTCTACAATGCACAAATCACCCCAAACAACAAAGAATTATCTGGTTCAAAATGCAGATAATGCTGAGTTTAAGAGATTGTGGTGTTGAAATTTCTTCAAATCATTAAGAAAATGATCATCTCAAAGTAGTTTGGGCAATTCACAGAGGAAAAAAACAAAAATGACCAATATATATGTGAAAGGAGGCTCAAAATCACTAGTAAATGGGAGAATTATCACAACCCTTATTTTGGCAAAAAATAAACAAAACAGTCTTATAACACCATGTGTATTAGTTGCTTATTACTGCTATAATAAATTACCAAAAACTTAGTGACCTAAAACAACACAAATGTATTATTTTACAATCAGGAGGTCAGAAACTCTAGATTAGTTTTATTGGGTGGAAGTGAAGGTATTGGCAGGGCTGGTTCCTTCTGGAGGCTCTAGCAGAGAATCTTTTTCCTTTCCCTTTCCAGCTTCTAGATGAGGCCTGCATTCCTTGTCTCCTGGTCCCTTCCTCCCTCTTCAAGTTCAGCTGTGTAGCATC